AAGTACGTGTTGTTTCTATACTTCCAAAAAATACAGTACGGTAGTTATTGTTATGATTGTACTTTAATGCAATCCTTGCCTATTTAATTAACCTATCTATATAGTAATTGAATTAAATGAAGTATCTTTTTGTACGTGTAACTCCTAACCAAAAAGAAACCTGGCAATAACAACCTTAGGCTTATATAACTAAAAGTAGGCGACCATACGTTTTTATCAAATCGCTAGTGCCTTGAAAATGCGCAAAACGGACACAACCGTCAACGACGTCTGCCCTCACGCGTCTGCCCGATTTCGGGTCGCGCACTCAGCGATGAGCCACATCTTCCCTACCGCACCTACCCCGCTCCTCCCACGCCCCGTTCGCCTGGCACCGCTGCCGGTATTTATCGCCGAAATTCCTATGACTCTGCATTTTAAATCTGTGATATCTTCGAAAATATTTATTTAATTTACATGCTGTAAAAAGCCATATTGATCTTTAATAAATGCACAATGTATTTAAGATACTTAATTGGATAAGGATTAATACTGTATTGCTTAAAATCGCTTCGTAAATAAGCCATTATTTCTCGTACAAAGTAAAGGATAAAAAATGGTTATTGTGGGTTATTCCTAAGAGATAAACATATACCATCACGGACTTTTTTGGAGACCTTTTTAAGTTGTACAATACTGTAGTACATTGTTTTGATCTATCTTGTAGGATTCAGTCAGCGTTTGCAATGTAAGCGCAAAAAATGTGTTTTTTTACGACCCGACATTAAAAACCTCAAAAATTGTAGCCTATATGTTATTCTGATGTATAAGCTATATTGTGGTAAAGTTTCATTCAAATCCATTCAGTAGTTTTTACGTGAAAGAGTAACAAACATCCATACATCCATACATCCATACATCCATACTTACAAACTTTCGCCTTTATAATAGTAGTAGGATAGTGACCGCTCTTAGATCAATGTTTAGCTTAACTGTCCAAGGTTCGAATCTCGTAAATCTAAAAAGCTCTCATTAAACTGTATTTTCATAATGCCCTGTCAAATTCGTCAAAAGTAACACATACATTAAATACAGTCTGTAGTTTACGCGGTTTAAAACGCGATATATTAGTTAAACTTATTTGAAAATTATTTTTAGCTTCGGTCCGACGTTTTGGATGCTATGCAGAGCCGTGGTCACGGGGAGACTGTCTCCCATTCCAATCATTTTCAAATAAGTTTAATTAACATATCGCGTTTTAAACCGTTAAAGTGTTTTATTCAACACAGAAATTATCTATAGTTTATGCGAGCAGTACACATATAAATGCAACGCTTTTAACCGTTTAAAACGCGAAACATATTATTAACTATTTTAACTACGACTCGACGCTTCGGATGCTTTGCAGCCGTGGACCAAGTAGGATTTAACCACTTATATATAGCGCGTTTTAAACCGTTAAAAGTATTTTATTTTAAAGACACATACTAACACTCAAAGTTACATAGATTTAGGCTATTTAACTTCTTAGTAGGTAGAAGTAATGTTGAAATTTAAACCCGACACAAAAAACATCAATAATAAGGATAATACATAACTAACGGCTCGTGGCTTCGATTCCCACCGGGTCCAACATTTACCCAGTCCATTTATAATTTTTCCGAAAGATGTTAGATATTGTCCGGAAATCTGGATATAAAATTCAATTGGAGGATTTCCGACTATCCAAAGACAATATAGGTCGACCGCGCATCTTGTTTAGATGTTATATGGCTGAGGTGTTTTACCTACCATCACGTGACTCCCGCGCTCGTCTGTAATGAAAAAAACCTACACAAATCTTCGCGGTTTGCTTGAAAAGTTATTGAGTTGATTCAAGTAATTCTACCAACGGAATTGCCTGTACAGTCAGCACAAACAACTTTTATCTAATTAATTATTTTCCGCGAAAACTTCTTCGTAATTCTTATGAAGTTTCCACATAATTAGTTATAGTTTAACTTTAGTGTTTTGTAGTAGATAATACCACTATGAGGCCGCTAGAGGCACAGTGGCCTAACTGCAATTTTGTGACTCCAGTTTGTAAATTACAATCGGCAAGAGCACAGTGACCGAAAATTGTTAACATAATTCTTACACTAATAATAGTACAAATTCATTTTCCCCAAGTTACTTGCGCCTTTCTATTTTCTTTCTTATTGAGAACCATGTTTTATTATTAAGCGACTTTGCCTTTAGCAGCCTCATATCTATCTAAACTCTAGTTTTAATTTAAAAGTTGAGAAGTGTTTTTTTTTACCATCATTACAGCTTTAACATTACCTAGCTAAGTTTGTGACTTCGTTCGCATAGTACAATTATTTTGAATATACATTTTTGTCTATAGTTTACGCGAGTGGTAGTAACACTTTAACGGTTTAAAACGCGATATATTAGTTTATATAGCGTTTCGTACCTCAGGCCGAAGTTAAAAATCATTTTCAAATAAGTTTCACTAATATATCGCGTTTTAAACCGTTAAAGTGTTTTATTTAAATGTGTACTACTCGCGTAAACTATAGACAGTATTCAGGCAAGTAGTTGATCAGACTTCTGCCCTGCCTGAGCGAAACAATTATTTGTTTTCCTAAGATTCGAACCGAGGACCTCTCGCGCTTAACGCACGGGATTACACGCACGCTTGCGTGTGTACTTCACCTTATTTCTAATTACTTTTATAGCATAGATTCAATGCAATTTACTCGCAGAGTTCTCGCTAAAAATGCTGGAAGGCGTTATAACTGAGAGACAATTACGGAACGTTTTGTCTCTCGACGTTGATTCGCGATTGTTTTTTCGTCTCATTGTACCCAGCAACGATATTAAAATATTTAGGTCTAGGGCGTCTGTTAAGAAAATATCAAATTAATTTATAATATTAATAAACCTTGCCCAAGGAAACGGGGTATCCTACGATTCTAGAATAGATTGAAAATAAAACATTTAAATAAAACCCTTAAACGGTTTAAATCTGTCTCCCCGCTGCTGCAAAGCTTTCCAAACGTCGGGCCGAAGTTATAAATCATTTCAAATAGCTTTAACAAATATATATCGCGTTTTAAACCGTTAAAGTGTTTTATTTGAATGTGTACTCGCGTAAACTAAAGACCGTATTTAAAAAAGAACAATAGTTTTTTACGCGTCAAAGTTTTTTTTTAGTAAACAGCTTTCTAGCAAGCCAGTTCGAAATTTAATTTATACCTTTGATAAGTTACCTCTTTGGTCGCCATTATAAATTTAATTTATTTGGCCGCTACACTTGACAGATATGGATTTAATACAAATACTAGCTGACCCATAAATGATAAAAATAAGGGTTTATCGTAGAAGGGTGAAAATTGAGGATTGTATCATAAAAAAATAGAAATTAAAAATTTTGTCTAAAAAAAAATAATAAATGACGGTTGGATTACCCCTAACGTTTAGGGAGATGAAAATAGATGCTGGCCGATTCTCATAGATACCGCATAAGCACAAAGAATTCCATCAAAATCGGTCAAGCCCTTTCGGAGGAGCATGGCAACGAAAACTGTGACACGAGAATTTTATATATTAGATTGCTCGACCAGTCCAGAAAGTTCTTATCTCGAAGAAGGTCGTCAAAAATGCTTGAATTTCCAAGCGTGTTTGAGAAAAAGTTTTTTTTTATAAAAAAAAAACACAATATTCTCGTTTCGTTTTTGCTGATCGTACGTAAGTTTGGGTGATTCATCATGTTCCATCTGGCGTGACTTGAACAAGTTAATGAGTTGCGACGTATTTCATATTGTATCTAAGTATGAACTATGAAGTAGTCAGTTTCTATACAAATTCTGTAGTTTCCAGTACACGTTGTATTGTCGTATAAACTACTAGCTGTGACAGCGACTTCGTCTGCATAGAACAGTTATTGGACAACCGAATTTGTCTTGCAAACCGAGGAGGTTTTATCCTTACAAATTTAACCGTTACCTGCGAAGTCGGTCGCTTCCCATCGACGTACACTGTCGCGGAATATTTTTAGGTTTCAAACAGAAAACATAATTTGAAATATATTTTTAGGTGCCTTGTTTCTTCGTTGCTATTAGTCACAGCGCGATGATTTAAAGCCTCTAGCCTTCCTCGATAAATGCCCTAAGCCACACAAAAGATTTTTTCAATTCGAACCAGTAGTTCTTGAGATTAGCGCGGTCAAAAAAATAATTAAACTCTGTAGCTTTATATATTAGAATAGATAGAAATATATATATATGAAAGCTAGCTAACCCAGGAGATGTGGTTATTTGTTATTAATTAATTTTAGAGTACTTTTAATGTTTTTTTACATTAAAAGTACTCTAAAAATAAAACACAAATTTATTGTACGTAAACAGAAGATATGAATATTATTTTCTGTAGTTTACGCGAGCAGTACCTACATATATAAAACACTATTAACGGTTTTAAGCGCGAAACATATTACATAGTTAAAATTATTTTTTTATTTACTTAACTACGTCTCGGCGTTTCTGAAGTACGAGGAAACAGATGGCCCTACCGTAGCGGATTTGACTTTGACATTAAGGTCACCAGTCATCCTCATTCCCCCGTGACCACGGCTTCGTTTTTTGTAGATTCCTTTAAATAAAACTATTCTAACGGTTTAAAACGCGAAATACATTCGTTCCGTAGTTGAAACTAATGTTCGACGTTTCGAAAGTTTTGCATTAGACTGGGGACGGAAGTAACTAATATATGTCGCGTTTTAAACCGTAAAAGATTTTTATTTAAATGTGTACTACTCGCGTAAACTACAGACAGTATTAAATTTATGTGTAGTAGTTATAATATTTAAATAGTCTTATTAAATATATTTAATCTTGTTTCAGATTGATCGTAGAATTTGCCAGAAATAGCTACTAGATGGCGCTAGTGGAATCGTAGCGGGCGCCATTAATGTTCAAGTGGAGTTACGTGTTATGTAGAGTAGTGTTTAGTGATAATATTAAGTGAAGTGAAGTGAAATGCGAGACGGGTCCAAACCAGGCCCGAGTGGAGGCTCAACCGGGCACGCGTTTGAAACAGACTTTGAAGGTAATACATACTTATACTAGCTGTGCCCGCGACTTCCGCGTAGAATTGTTTTGGGCATCAACATTTTTGCAAACCTTTTCTCTTCATGTCTTGGCTTACGAACTTAGATTTAAATATTTTGTCGCAATCAATATACGCACGGCATCGATCCCGTCCCGTGGTTCTTGCAAGTTAATTTTAAAAGATAGACATAGTGTCGCGGACATGTTTTTAGATCATTTGAGGAGGAATCATTCTTTCTTATACATTTTTTAGTATCTTGATCAGTTTCCGCCGCGAACTTTCAAGCAGCGCTATCTTTTAAGAGTAACTTGCAAGAACGACGGGGAGGGACGCGGCCGACATCATGGGTAACAGCTTAAAATCGTAAAGAAGGGGTTCGCAAAAACGAGTTTGGATGTCCAAAATAACGATTCTCGCGGACGAAGTCGCTGACACAGCTAGTATCTTATAAAAACATCCCGTGTACGGTCCGCAAATTAATATTAGTTTTCAAAGCTGCGTTATGCAAAAGTTTTCCAATTACGGTATAATTTAATTCTAATAGTTTTTAGTTTTATCACGGTAGAAGACCTTTTCCCGGTATCGTCGGAAAGCACTTAAAAGTTATGATTATAATTTACGATATTTTAATGATCGTTATAAGAATAAATAAATTAAAATACTGTGTACACAATTAAAAATCGAAAATAAATTGAAAAAGTTTTCGACTCGGGCAGGCCTTGAACCGGCATCGTCAGCGTCCCGTGCTCTACCAATTGAGCTACCGAGTAGATTTTTTTTTTTAATTTTTTATGTTTCGTAAATAGGAATTGCGTGCCTTCAGGTGCAATAACATGTTAAAAAAATAATAAAGTTTTCAAACTGTGTACACATTTCAATTAAACATTTTAACCGGTTAAAGCCAGAAATATATTATTTAACTTAATTTAAAGTCATGAGGGAGTATAGATTTAGGGTGTCATGTATCACTAAGATTTCGCGTTTTTAACACTTTCAACGGGTTAAAACGGGAAATATATCAGATAAGATTTGGGACATTTGGGAGTGAAGATGGCCCTCCGTCTTCAGCCCCCAGGGTCCCAAATGTCAATATAGACATTTCGCGTTTTAAACATTTTTAACGGGTTGAAGACATGGGGAATAAAGATGGAGGGTGTCCCTAATGTCAATATAGATTTATAGTTAATAAATTTTGTGTTTTAAACCGTTAAAAGTTAAATTTAAATAAGTACTACTTGAATTATAGACAGTACTTATGTACAATCACAATATTTCGCGTTTCAACCGGTTAAAAGTATTTTATTTAGTTACTCGTAAACTACCCACAAGAATTGTATTTACTATCTTTTATATACGAATGTATACCAAACATTTATCGTCGTTAAGTTAAAATTAAGATCATTAGTCGTCTTGGTTGCGCATAACTAATTGTTTTTGTTTCCTTACAGGATCTCCAGGTGTTGACGATAGCTATGAAGAACTAGCCTCCCTGAAAACACTGCTCCATTTTCCAGAGGAAGTCGCTCTGAGACTTACTGATACGGAATATAAGCTGTTTTACCAAGTAAGTCTTCATCTAACAAAAATAAATTTATATTTGAGCTACCGTGTCTCTATTATTTTTGACATGTTATTCATTGCACATGATGGCTTGATAAATTAAAAATCGATTTTAGATTTTAGATTGATGATTTTAGATAAACTATAGTTTATCGCACGAAATATAAACCGAATATCCGAAGAGCCAAAGTAAGGCGACAGTGCATGTTAATTTACCTCCTTTATCAAAAAAAAATCGTTAAAGCTACACTCTGCTTTAGAATTTATAGCTTATCGCTTGATAACTGGCACAACTTTTAACCGAAAGAGATGAGTATTGATTTCGTCTAATTTTAAACCGCGCCACACTGTAGCTTAGCTTTGGGGTGACCATCGGATAAATATTTATGTGGACACAATTTTGATTATTATACTACCTGTAAATATGTCACAGTAAATACTGTTTGCAGTTTACGTGACGAGTACACATTTAAATAAACTAATAATACACTTTATCAGTTTAAAACGCGAAATATATTAGTTAAACTTGTTTAAAAATTATTTTAACAACGGCCCGTCGTTTGCAGCCGTTGTCACAGAAAGGCGTCCGAGTAAATAAGTTTAATCACTCTATAAATAATTAAAGTGTTTTATTTTTTAATATGTTACAGTAGTTCAACTTAAAGAAACACAATAAAAGACAATGATATATTGTGGAAGATCTAATTATTAGGTATTTTTAACATTAAGGAAATAACACACTTATCTATACTAATATTATAAAGCTGAAGAGTTTGTTTATTTGAACGCGGTAATCTCAGCAACTACTGGTTCGAATTGAAAAAAATATATGTTTGTCTTGGTTAAAACAATTATTAGAGAAGGTTTCAGGTTATAAAACATTCGGCTAAGTAACAGAAGCGATGAAACACAGGGAAATGTGGAAAATTATCTTCGCGGGTAACCGTTGCGTGCGTTGCGAAAACGGTTCGATATACCCAATAAATGTGAACAAAAAATGATTCCTCTTTAAATGATTCAAAGAACTGTCTGTGTTACAATATACTTCTATCTTTTAAGATTAACTCGCAAGAACGACGGGATCCGGACGACGTTTGGGTCCCGATGTTGGTTGGTTACAGCAACAGCAGGGAACGCTGTGCATGCCATTTCAAATCCTATCTGTTTCCTAATTATTTTTTTAGTATAAAATTGATTTTCATTTTAACTGTCCGCTAGTTCAGTAAGTCATGGTTATCCTACGTTTTGCTGAGGGATGAAGTTTATCTCAAAATGACCTTGTTTGAATCTCAAAGAATATGTGACATGAAAGCGTTCTTCGTATGTGCTAAACTCCGATCGTGAGGTAGTAAGTTTGAAACTCAGTCATGCAAAAAATACTTGACCTAAATAAATCGTTTCAAATTTTATTATATAGAGACCGGGTAGTAAACTCAGTAGAACTAATAGTTTAATATTTGAATAAAACTCTTAACTTATTGAATCGAAAAATATATATTTCAACTTGATTACTTTTAGTCTCGAGAGGGTTAACACATATATTTCCTTTTTAAACCGTTAAAATTGTAATTTTTACAAGTGTTATATACCAAGACCAAATTGTTTAGGACCTATATACCGTCTTATGAAGAACATCATAAAATAAAGGAAAATCTATACTAATATTAGATTGTTAATTAGTAATTGATTGATTGTTTGTTTAAACGCACTAATCTCAGGAACTACTAGTTTGAATAAAATAATTCTGTTTTGCGTTTGTTAGATCTTTTAGAAGAAGGCTATAAAACAGACTGCAACCAGTGGGAGTGAAGAAACATGTGAAAAAAGAGGCGAAAAATTCATCTTTGAATGCTTCCGTTGCGCGCAGCAAACGGTCTAGAAAAACAAAAAACAAATATGAAAATTCATCCCTCTGAAAAAAATGCCCGCGACATTATATATCTATCTTTTGAGATTAACAGCCGAGGTTGTTTGCAAACATAAATTATAAGATGCCCAAAATAACTATTCCATTCAGACGAAGTCGCGGGCACAGCTAGTGAATGACATAGTGAATACATATGCTTTAACGCACCATTTACAATTTATTCACGCTAGATTATTCACTGACTCCTATAGCGAGGTAACGACGCGTAAAACTGAGAAATATCACTTAAATCTTCCAAACCTGTCTATACAAAATGTCATCAAAGCCGATTCATTAGTTTATAGAATACTCGAAAATCACAAACTTCAATGCTACAAATTTAATTCGGCAAATTCTTCTTTCGTTTCTTCTTCATCGAGGGTAGATGATGATTAGATCATCATCTACCCTCGATGATTGAGGTAGCACTTACGAACTCCTGTATTTCCCCAAATGACAGGGTCTAATCTAAAATGGAAGTATTTTTATCAAAATCTGTTGAGCCGTTAAATTGTGACAATGTAACAAACATCTTAACGTCCTTACAAACTACAGTATTTATTGTAGTGTAGGAAAGTATAGTAGGTTTTTTTAACACGGAATTTTAGGGTTACTCCAAGGGTAAAAACAAACCCCCTTTTACTAAGATGAAGAATGTCTGTTTGTTAGGCAAGTTTAATTTAAATAATAGATTTTCAACGGTTTAAAACACGACATGTTAGGTTTAAAGTAATTCGGCGATGACGTGTAGGACACGGTAGCTCAATTGGTTAGACCACGGAACGCTATGGGTGCCAGTTTAAGCCCTGCCTGTGCTGTATCTTTTTCGATCAAAATAGATTCTTTATTTGTACAGCACGGTTTTTAATATCATCGACCCGACGCTCCATATCCATTTTATAATAATAAGTTAAATACTGTCTGAAGTTCACGCGAGTAGTACACATTTAAATAAAACACTATAACGGTTTAAAACGCGATATATATTAGTTAAACTTATTTGAAAATTATCTTTAGCTTTGGTTTTAAACCGTTATTTTTAAAGTGCTTTATTTTATTGAAAAGTTGCTCATATTGTCATCGAACCCGAAGCTCAAACAAAAATAGGAATTTCAAAACTAATAAACTTGGACCGTATAAATTTTCGCTCATAAGGCAGTTTCTTTTTATACGGTACATTAGAGCGGAACAGATGTAGTGGCTAGTTAAGCTGTATTCTATTTCATTTTATCCAGTACGTTAGAGTGACATAGATAGTGTAGATATATTTTTCTACCGTCTTATGATAAACCTTAGTATTTTATGATTCATAAAACGTGAGCTTACAAGGGAAATTGAACTAGAATATAGAGATACAAAAACAGAAATAAAAGTCACCAATAAAACTGTTTTTTTCCTATCGTATTTACTAATGAATCAGTAACGTTTGAAATAAAACAGTAAAAATAAATAAAGCGGGTAGTACACTTTTAAATAAAATACCTTAACGGTTTAAAACGCGATATTATTTAGTTAAACTTATTTGAAAATTATTTTCTCTACGGCCCGACGTTTTGGATGCTTTGTAGTTTGGTCACAGGGGGAGACCTAAAAAAAAACAAAACCTACATGTCATACGTACAATAACATAAAATACAGCAAATAAATAAGCAACTTAACAAAAAACTTACATTTAGATCATATTATTATGTTAAAACTATTTACTTACGTGAAAGATAAAGATATTGAATACTGAATAACTGATGTCGTGATCACAGCAAAATGTACCGGACTCGTATGTATGTATCGTTATACACTTGCAGTAATTATTAACTATTAGACACTACACATCCACCTAAGAATAACTTATCTGTAGAATTTACAATCAATCACTTAAACATACGTAAACCCTTAAGACGCGTGACGACGTGCATCAAGGTCAAGTTAATATTCGCAACTAAAAATAATACAATATTAAAAAAGGATGCCGACACGCTTTTCGACTATATCAGGTGTGGACTAGACACTCTTTGTCGGCATTTACCGAGCTAGCGTTTCGGCGCGTACGGCGGCTAAAATTAAACGAAGCGTAGTGTTGCCGTTTTGTTTTTTATAACGAGTGTCGATAAAAAAAACAGATGTACAGTTTAATAAGATAGGTTCTATGTTTTTACAACTAATTAAAGATAGGCTTAAAATTATTCCTTATAAATTAATAATTTAAGATAAAATGAAAAAAGTAAGTATTGTCTGTACTTAATGTTTCAAAATGGAAAAGGTTAACTTATTTACAATTTATTTAAGTATAAATATGGACATTTTAGGTGCTTTGCAGTAACCGTGGTTTATGAAAGAAGAGCCTTTTGTTAAATAAATTGTAACTTCAAATTAACGAATACATTTCACGTTTAAACCGTTATAAGTGTTTTATTTTAATAAGAAGTATGTACATGGAACAAATAAATTTATCGGAAAAATAAATAGTGGTTTATCGATATTATAGTTTACCGATATTCGAGTGTATTGAGGTACATACCTATACCTATTCTACTACTTTTTAAATGTTGTTTAGTTGCCTGTAAACATTTCTTGCGTCATCACGTTCCTGCTAATTTTAGGAACTCGTAATTATCTCGTTTTTTAGTGTCTTAGTTAGTTTTGTTCTTTCATTTCTCTAAATTGTTTTTATTTACTTTTTAGTTGGTTTCTTTTTTGTGCTTATTTAATTTGTGATATTGGGTGGTGTGTTAGTTTTATTTAAAACGCTTGCGTCGAATTTGTAACCAGCACGTGAGTATCTCATTATGTTAATTTATTTACTTTTGGTAATGCGAAAGAGGTGTTGAGAATTTACTGGAGAAGGTAGGGACCTCTCGTCTGCTGGCCGTCTAAGTTATGCAGTTTTAATTGCGGTTTTGCTATGGTGGTTTTGTCTTTCTTATTTATTTGAAGTTGTATTAAATGTATACTAAATACTTTTTTCGAATATTACAACTATACGCTAAGATGAAATAAAAAATACCTAACCTACTTAAATTGATCAGCTGTTCACGTAACGTTTTGCGGGTGTGTAGGTCATAATGCTTCTTGGCTGAACGCTGTACATTTCATACTCGTAT